GAGTAGAACTAGGCTCGCTGATTGCCTTAGCCCTGGCCTTCATATTCTTTGAACATCCAGGCTGTTTCGGTTGTTTCATGTTTATTGGTTAAAGTAAATAGGGAGGGGGTGGGTGTAAGGTTAGGGTGGTTTTGACAAGGAACGTTTCTTTGAGTTTTGACTGTCGCCAGCTCCCCAGTCGGGAGGTTTGATTTGTCTGCATGCCTTCTTACTGAATAAAACATCGCAACAACATAGTTATTATATTTACATGGATATGTGTATGTATCTGAGTGAGGTGGCATCATTTCTGCTCTATTAAATGTAAAATGCACAAAAGTCATCCAGAAGAGGTGAAACCATCCTTGGCCCTGTCTACAATCGCAACACTACATCTGGAGATGAATGCGTGTTGAGACGCGTGGGTGGAACCTGCAAATAGCGATGTCTCTGCAGCTTCGATGACTTCTCACATGGCTGAACGAGAATCGTTGTTGAGAGCCTCCGATGTCGCACAGAGCCAGATGTAGTTACACTATAAAAATGCGTGACAAGAGCACCGTCAAGTGCAGAAAGGACTGGTTTTCATATCACTTCCTTGTTATTCTTCTCAATATACCCATTGACTTCCTATTATTGTTTCATTATTTGTTATATTAGCAAATGCCAATTTGTGTTCGCAAATGATTTCGTGGAAAAGTGAGTAAATTAAAAGGGAGATCTGTTAATTTTATTGAGGTCACACGTGTGATCGACGTGTCTAGCCTGGGTTGAAGAGTACTGTCTTCCGCGTATGTGTTCGCTGCATGCCTGCATCGTGCAGGAGATGGTTGTGTACCCGAGGATTTAGTTGTTCGTGTCTGAAATGTCGCGAAGGCAATCCATCCCAGCCAATCAGCTACTCGTTTAGCTTGGTAGAGCAGACGACAATCTAGCGTTACATCAGGTCTGGGTGTGAATACCTGTGACAGGTGTAAGAAACAAGGAATAACATTCTTCTAATGATTGCGGAAACGCCGACAGAACGACGCAAAAACAGCGAGTGACCGCCTTACCAGTTAAAAGAAAGGCAAAACTGATGCTACGAAGAACAATGAAGTAAATTGATAGACTCCAAGGACATCACCAAGATGAAGAACAGGACTATCCACTCTTGGCGTATATTTGCAAGCAACTAGAGCAGTCTGAACAACTGCCTTTACCATCATGGCAAGGATCTAGAGGGTGCTAGGTAAATAAGCTAACTTCCGATTTTCGGTACACTGCTACCAGCAGTGACACCACTATCTCATTCCTAAGCATAGATGATGGAATGGGCAACACAAGTGTGGAGGACTTCGTCGATTGTGGACAGCTACCAACTCCTCTCAACTATCGTATCCAAGGAAAGAGGGCCCGTTTCTTCTCCTTATTACTCAAAAGGTGCAAAGGTCGAGCGAATCGCCATCAAGACCCAATTTAAGTAAATGCCGTGCTAAATTGTCACAGATGCATGAAAGGTAAAAGATAAAATCGCCTTTACTCTATTATGTCTTTCTGACGCGTTTGAGCACGATTCGACGATTTATTTACGAGGGAAGGAGGATGTTGGCTGATGGTGCCGTATCATTGACATATGTTGTTATTTGGACCTGCAAAATATCGAGACAATTGCAAAAACGCAACTTCCCCAAGTTTTCATGTTAGAATGTTGAACAAGTTGCCTCCAATCATTGCCTAATGAAGCGATGATGATGCATATAATGCCCAGAAATAAAGAAGAGGATGAAGACGGAGGAGAGGGAGAAGAAGAAGACGACGGGAACGGAGATGAGAAGCGCTTGCCTACTGGAGGACTTTGGAATTTGGTGCGTCTGAATTGCTCGAGATGTGTGGAGGACAGACACTAAAAGCCCGTTTTGCCAAATGATAGAGATTTTTGACGTGCTCCTCGTTGTTATCGTCAGCTTTTTGTAAGTACAACATTGATCGATGTTGGTAACATGGGTGATGCCGAGGGCGGCCTAAACCCAATCATCACCTATGCCTAAATCCATTATTTGTCTACTTGACCTCTCTGCTTCCGATCCACTTAATCGCCCCCAAACTACTTTACATTTGGTTTATTTTTTGCTTATTTGCCCACCTTTGCCTTTACCCTTATTTCAGATCTCGGCAAGAGGGACTTTCCCACTACCTCTCTCCACCTCAACGCAAATGTGACCATACGCGACAAAACCGGTTTTGTGTTGTTGTCGTCGTCGTCATT